TCAAAAAAAAAAAAAAAAAAAAAAAAAAGAAAAAGAAAGCAAGCAAGCAAGAAAAAGAGAAATGCTATTATTATTACAATATTCCAATGACCCCTTCTCCATGGTTGGTTGTATAAGGCCAGAGAGATGCACCTCACCCTGAAGGGCTAACCTTCTTATGGTGAAAAATTCCTGATGGCCCCTGTATCGGGTACTAGGGGCTGACACTGGCTCTTAGAGAAGGAAATACATGTGTGTTGGACTGTAACGGGGATGGAGAACATGTGAGCCTTACCTGATGACATCGTTCACATTGGTAAGGCTTTTCGCCACTATGTACACGCTTGTGGCGTTCCAGGTGGTACTTCTGAATGAAGCGCATATCACATATATCACACTCAAATGGCTTCTCACCTGGCCCAGGTGGAGAAAGAAGTAAATGTCAAGTGGTGTAAATGGTAGGAGTCACATTCCAGTTATTTCCCCAGAACCTGTAACTCTCAGCTACATGCAGACATCTAAGCTACCATCAGTGGGGAGGGGTCCCCAGAGGTGCTGTAGTCAGTTATACCAGGTAAGACCCATGCAATCTCTCTACCTGGTTCACTGTGGTCTTCCTCCATTCCTAATACTTCCCTTTAAAAAACTCAACTACAACTACACGCACACACAGAATACAAGTTTTGATGTATCTCTCCCTCTGAATACAAGCAAGAGACTTACCAGTGTGAATAAGGATGTGCCTCTTGAGGTGGTAACTGCTCCTAAAGGCTCCAAAGCAGTGTTCACAAATAAAATTTTTGGGTATCTTTACTTGAAAAGAACCGTTTTGTTCCACTACCACCACCTGAGGGCAACAATCAAGCATGTCATACGGCTATCCCTCTGCTGGGAAAGACCATTTGACTCTGGGTCCATTTCCAGCTGCAGGACAATGGTGCTGTCACCTCCATATTCCTGAGGCTGTCCAACAGTGCTGTCACCTCCCACACTTCTTAGAGCTAAGAGACTCTGTGGAGTAGAGCAACTGCCTGCCTCGTCAAACTCAACACTCTGAGCAGGACCTGGGATGGCGTCTGCCTTCCCCCCTACCTCAGGATCACGAGCCCTCATGCTCCCCAACCTACACCACATATGCTCCATCTGGGGCAGAGATCAGCTACTGAAGTGGTCTTTAAATGAAATCAAGGGACACACTCACTGGCTATGAAGAACCAAAGTGAGCAGGGAAAATTCTGGGTTGAGTTATGGGACAAAAGAGGACAATTACTCCACTACCAAACAGCACCAGTTTGAAGGATAACCCCATTACCTGCCTTTTTAACAGTCTTTTTTGAGTGAGAGGCCTCAGCCAAGCTGTCATCATCTTTGCGGCTCCGAGACTTATCGCTGTCTTTTCGGTGGCCCTTTGAAGACAAATCAAACCTAAACTCACAGTCTATCTCAGCATGTAAGACGAGAGACCAAATGCTATTTTCAGACAAACATCCTTTAAGTTACAGTAAACCACTGGCCCCAAAGGTTCTGAGAAAGTACACATCTATTTCCTCTCCACATACCCTGTCATAAGGGGTTGCAGGTACAGAGAGACTTTCCCTAGCTCTCTAAAATACCCCATTCATTCCTTCCCCAGCTGGATCCCCTTTCCTCATGTTCCTACACGGAAGCACTGAGGAATCAAAGCTTTGTGTCTCCTGACAAGACAGCTCGGGCCGCCCGACCCCCAGGTGCCACATTGGACTCAAGCGCTGTACCTGACTCGAGCACCTCAGCACATCAGGGCTACCTGCCCTCTCGCCATTCTCGGCCTGCTTGCTGGCAATCTGGCTCAGCATCATCTTCTTGCTGGCTGCAGTAGGAACCAAACTCACACCTGCTAGGCCTTCACAAGCCAGGAGACTTGCCTAAGTTGAAAGGAGATGAGGTGTCAGGTCACCTGGCAGGGCAAAAACAGGCTGCCATCCTCTATAGAACTACCTCATATGCCCAGCTACACACAACTGCTTCTCTTTAGGGAAATGTCCCTCCTCAGTGTGAAACCTCTGCTTCCTTTAAGAGTCCTCCTTAACTCCTCTCACCAGGAACCAGTTGCGTATTTTGTCATCCCCCTGCATTTTAAGATAGATTAAGTGAATAACCAAGTATCAACAGTTTTGTCATTAGCAAGGTGCTGCGCAAAGTATGCGTGTGTATGTCCCTATATATCACTTCAAAGGCACTTCTTCATTATTTTTTAAAATTTGCTATAGGGCTTGTGCACTTGCCAGAGAGACACAGGAGAAGGGGTGGGGGAACACCCACCTGGGGGGATGGTCATGCCATAATCCCTTCTCCTCCATTCTCCTTTTGGGACTTGAGCACACATACACATGCACCGGCATGAATTTCAAGCCACCAGGTCTGAGACTCAAACCACAGTCGGCCATGTGGGAGTCCAGCACCTCAACCACTACACCACCTGCTGGCCCCAACACGCACAATTTTTTGATCATTTACCTCTTCGTGGTGGCTATATTCTTTCACAGTGCAAACTGCATTTGTTTTAGGAAAATAGGGGGTCTTTCCTTTCCTTGGTCAGACTTTTTCCTTATTTATTTATTTATTTATTTATTTATTTATTTTTTGAGAGTTTTTTTGCTATAGGGTGGGTGTGCTCGCCAGAAAGAGAGAGAAACAGAGAGACAGAAAGTTAGAAATAACCCCTCCCCCTCGCCACAATCCCTTCTCCTCTATTCTCCTCTCGGGATCTTGGGCACACACACACACACACACACACACACACACACGTCAGGCATGAGTTTTAAGCTTCCAGATCTGGGACTTAAACCGCAGTTAACCACATGGCAGTCCAGTGACATAACCATTACCCTATCTGCTGGTCCCTATTAAAGAAATTTTAACAAATGGTATTTGCTCATGTTTTAAGTTGATATAAAGAGAACACTCTAGTTTTTGAGTTTTTAAAATGAAAAGATGTATGAAAATGAGATCATTACTTTGTTTTACTAAGAGTTTTGTTTACTTTAAGAAAACATTAGGATACAAATCTATAAACTTTGATTTTCTTTTCATTTCTCCCCAGGGGATACACAAATAACACTTCAAATTTATTATGGTTTTACATTCATCCATGTAATGAATATATAACATTGCTCAGCTCCTATGTCATTAACAAGCACACTATTATATTACTGTATTTATGTCAACCTTACAATGAAAGAACATGACAAAATTCTGGAAACCAAAAGGTTAACTCTGAGGAACACAAATGCATAAACAAGTTTGCATTCACAAGAACAATTCTGTGTTATCATTTCCAATGTTTTCTCTTTCTCTGGTTCTTCTTATTCCAAATGATACAGTCTCAACATAATAATCTTCATAAAGCACCTCAATAATCATATTAAGATTAAGGAAAATAAGTATGAAACATTCTATTTATGCCTAGTGATAGTGAGCAGGAAATGGGCGGGAGAATTTTTGTGACAGTTTATATTCCAACAAATAATCACATTTTATCCTCTTAATAGGTTTAAAATGTACTCCCAAAGCAGATTATACATTTTATGCATTTAATTATAATCATACTTTCCCCTTATCTGATGTGAATATCTTCAATTTAAATATAAGTTTAATTGATGCCTATCATTTAATAATCATACTATGATCCAGGGCAATTACAACAATTCCTTCTTATAAAACTACAGTTGTTAGAGAAATGTCGAGGAGGAAAATGTTTAAATCCTGACATAAAAATGTCTGTGATAAAACCAGGAGCTTTGAATTTCATGGTCCTTTAATATTGCCTTTGAAGTAATGAAAAAGCCATTTTCCACCACTTGCTTCAAGGACTCCACTAATAACATCTTCCACAAAGGACCGATCTTTTTTAAGGCAGGATATTGTGACGTTATTCTAAAGCATTTAAAATTATATAACAAACTTTTACTGGAATCTTGCAGTCTACCTTTTTTATTCTCCCTAATGAAATACTTGTTAAACAGGTTACTTTATCTTAACCTTATGGAAATGACTATGACAGAGTATCTGTTATTTAATTCAGTTCCAGAAATAAAGGATAACAAGTTGGGGGGGGGGGGTGAGGAGGAAGGACATCATAAATAATCTAAAGAACTAGGAAAAAGGCTCTTCCTTTGGTCTTGGCTCCAAGCTCAACTTAAGTCATAGAAAAATTGTGATCTGATAGCCTTGTACTAGTCCCTGGTAGACACGCCTACCTCCACACAAACCTCCCCTTTGGTATGACTGGCTGCCCACTTAGAAAGGACCGGGCTGGCAAGAGAATCATCAGGTCTTGAACGGGTAGATGGCACCAGCGGGGATCCTTGTGGAAGTCTCTGTGTTAAGTTCTACAGCTGTCTCTGTATGCCCTGAAAAAAGTCAGTCACACCAAGAAATAGAATTTCAGAAACTCCTGAAATAAGGCTGTCTAATTAAAAGATGGTTAAGATGAAGTTCCCCAGGAGCACAGAAATCCAAGGAGGAAATTAGTTTCTATTTTCACTTCATGTGGGATCTCTGACTAGGAAACTGCAAAGGGTAATTATGCAAAATGCACAGGAGAATGTCAGAGACTGTCTGGATTGAGTGAAAGGGGATTTGTGGTAAGAACCCCCGGGCACTGGTTTTGTGCAGCTCAATTTTCCTGAGAGGATTGGGTACTAGAAAGGGAAATAATTCTAAGAGTGACCAGTGAGGAATGAGAGGAAAACTCTACTAATCAGGGCTAAAAGATAAAGTGAAGGAATGAAAGAACTACGTAAAAATCAGTTGCTCAGAGAGACTTTCCTAGCACAAAGGCAGAGGGTGTTACTGTTCCCCTTCATCTCAGTTCTCCACTTGGTCCCCTTCTTTCCATAGGAATGACAATAACACCCAGCTTAGGACTGTTACTGGGACTTCAGAACTGTGCTCATCACCCCACAGAGAGGCAGAGAGAGACAGTGAGAGGGAAAGTGAGAAATCCCCCCTGCCCAACCAGGGTAGATTTCCACGCCATATCCCTTCTCCTCCATTCTCCTTCTGGGATTTTGGGCATACACACACGCACATCTGGTATGTGTTTGAAGCTGCCAGATATAGGATTCAAAGCTCGTTTGGCCATATGCGAGTCCAGTGCTCTAACTACCACGCCATCCATTGGCCTCAGATTAGCTAGACTTATAACTTGATTCTATCTACTTATAAGTACTAATGGTCACTGCCTCTTAGAAAGAATATGCAAATGAAGAAGCATAGTATTTGTTTCAGAAAAAGTGTTAGAGAACAGTTGCCCTATGCATTTTATGGCACCGTTTTATTGGAATCATTATGCTCCATAAGACTTGCTGGGTCAGACCATGCGATATGCTATAACACTGACTCTTGTGTTCTACACACAACCACGACTAGGTCATCCTAGGAGCAAAATCTCCAGTGAAAAGATGATTCAAATCTCTTCAAGGTAAGGGTGATTTTATTTGTCATTCTCTTCTGCTGAAATTAGAGTTGATTCCTTCTTGTTGTCTTTATTTCATTAGCTAAAATATATTTCTACCTATAAAATATGTTTGATGTTCCCTATTGGGAATGAAAAAGAGGCTTCATTTGAGTTAGCAGGTGGGATCATATAAAAGGCAAGATGGCCAGTTTATTTCATAGAACACAAAATCATAAAAATTTAGGGTTGAAATGCACCCTAGAGAGCATCTAAAAAGTGTAAAAAGAAGCCATCTAGGTTATTTGCTTAGTGAATTAAAAATGTGGTCACTAATGTAGCTTCATGGCTAAGAGGATAGACACTATTTCCGCAACAGGCACCAAATTGGTAATCTTAGATCATGACTTGTGGTTAAATTATAACCAGAATTAGAATAATCTCATAACTGTAGGTAGTCTACACAGGAAAATAAGAAGAATCTAATCTTAGTACCAATCACCGTATTTTAATATAAAAAGGAGAGATTCTTAAAATAACTAGTTTTTTAAGTTAAATAACTTGTTTGACTTGAATTATAGTCAGAATATCTTTTTTTTTTTATTTTTGCCATAGGACATGTGTGCTCTTTGGAGAGAGACAGAGAGAGAATGTGAGACATCATCACCCAGGGAGGATGGCCACATTGCAATTCTTTCTCCTCCATTCTCCTCTTGGGATCATGGGCACACATGTACATATGCCTGGTGTGATTTTGAAGCCACCAGGTTCAGGACTCCAACCACAGTGGGCTATGTGGGAGTGTAGCACCTTAACCACCATACCACCTGCTATCCCCAAGATATCACTTTAAAAAAAATGAGACTATGTATAGTACTAAGGCTAATACTCAGTATCCCCCAACGCTTTTCCTATATCAAAAGGATGTGCATATATATATATATATATGTGTGTGTGTGTGATATATATATATATATATATACATATATATATATATATAAAACTGTTTTACTTTAAGAACAGGGAGAATATAGATGGAAGAGAAAGCCCAAGTTTACCTCTGTAATACTTGATGATTGAAGTAAAATTCTTGTTTTGCTGTAATTGGCTAAGTTTTCATGACAGGACTCTAAATGGCTGTTGGAGAGATTACAGGGACCTCCATAAACATTTTAACCAAGACACATGATGCACAGTTTAGAAAACACAGTACATATATTCTTTTTTTTTTTTTTTTTGAGAGGTTTTCGCTATAGGGCGCATGCGCTCGCCAGACAGACACAGAGAGACAGAGAGACAGAAAGCGAGAAATCATCCCCTCACCCCCCTGGGGGGGATGGTCATACTGCATCCCTTCTCCTACATTCTCCTCTTGGGATCTTGGGCACATACGCACGTGCACCTGACGTGAGTTTTAAGCCACTGGGTCCGGGACGTGAACCGCGGTCGACTACGTGGGAGTCCAGCGACATAGCCATTACACCAACTGCTGGTCCCCTTATATTCTTTATATAGTGATGGTACTTCTGTATTCCAAAAAAGAAAATGTGGATAGTTGGTTGCCTTTCAAATGCTTTTGGACACAGGGTTTTGAATGAAGGGGACAACTAATTAATTTGGCAATAACTATAACTGAGGGCAACAAGGACATAAAAGTCTAGACAAAATAACAACTTAAAGTATGTAAAAAAAAATTATAGCCTCAACTGAGGTTCCGTCTGCATCATCTATACAGCATTTCACACTCACTAACCCTGAATTTTTCCACAGGGGTGAGTGGAAAGTTACATTTAGTAAAGCAAATAGGAGCTGTCTGGCTAGATCCTCAAACAACAATAAAAAATTTAGAGGTAATGTCTTGATGTGACATCCTGAAAGCTGGCTCTATATTTGTAGGTGATTTATAGCTCTTACTTTAATAAATTTCCAACCTTCTTTTTCTGGCACATTCTGTAGAGAATATTCCAATATACAGACTACCAGGGGAAAATAATCTGCCTCTGGATTAAATAATAATAAAAACGATTAAGTATTAGTGTATATCTCCAAGCCTAAAAATCCTCATTGCCTACTTTTTGCTGAAGTAAACTTACCATAACTTAAGATCTTGCTAGGATTTGTTTTGCTGAGTTACAGTAAAATAGGAAGTAGACTTTCGAGTATTGAACAGGAAGACGTAAATACAGTCTCCAAATGCAAATCACAGGAGCACTGGAATTCAGAAGTAAAGGAGGAAAACCCATAGACTACACACTTCTGGGAGGTTTTTGTGGCTTGCAATATGGGCTGTGAGAATACCTAAGCCTAGGCAGGGCCTAATCTGTTTTCTTTCACCTTATAGCTTTAGTGACTCTTCGGGGAAGTAGGTCAAATAACCGGCACTCCATCGACCCAGAAGCCCAGTATGTCCCTGCAGTGATCTAAGGGGAGCACTTCCCTTGCAAGAAGCAGGGAGGTCCCATGTTGCTCCATCAGCATTTTAATTCATGTACTTTTATTACAGTTTATTTATTCCATGAGCATGAGAGAGAGAGAACACCCAATGGTTTCTCAACATCACAATCCACTCCTAGTTCTATCCAGCTCCAGATCATGGGCACTTGTGTGCCTTCAGTACTCAGGGAGCTCTCTGAACGTGATCCCCGAACCCTCCTACATGGGTCGGTTTTGCAGAGCTTTTACTGTGCCATTGTCTGGCCAACTCATGTACTTTTCTTGAGATCCACTGTCAAGAATTCTCAGTAAGCAAGGCCATCTGATGGCAGATGATAGGAACTGTCAGACCATTTGAAGAATTCTCTTTGATGGATATCAGAGGAGGCTTTCCTTCAGAGCCAGTTTTTCAGTGTCCTGGAGTCAGAAAGCACATGCTGGTGTAACTTTTGACACCCAGAGA